GGACAATTATCGGATCATGATTGTATGCTCAGCTAGCCATTTGGAGATGGCGACATTGAATGGCAATCAGCAGGGCTTACCAGATGCAAAATTTTTATGCGGAATTTGACATCCTCGATACTGTTGCATGAATTGCCCTCAGACATATCCCTGGGTTTGTCAAGGACAGGTTCCTGCTTTCTGTGGACTACAATCTACATCAAGGGGGTTATGTTATGTCCTCTGATGGACCAAAATTTGATTTGAGTCTATTTAAGACTGTGGAGGGATTCCGTGGTGTTAGCCAGAGGACCTACTACATTCTACAGGTCCTCTCTCCCGACTTGGCAGCAGTGAGAGCTGGTATCACCACCCTGTACGAATGTGATGGTTATCAGCAAGCTTTGAACAACTTCTGCATAAGAAGCTTTCGGAAGGCAGGCTCTGGCGCCTTTAGCATTTACCCAGCCAAACATGTCCGGATCAAATTCTACAACAGCCCACACTTTATGGAGACATTGTTGAGCATGGCAAAGGCTACATTTTCACACCAAGTTTCCTCAAACATGCAATTTGGCTGCAAGTTTCCTGGTGGCAGATTGGATCGAATATTCAATGTCCCCAGTGCAGAAGCTGCCACAGCCAGGCTAGCTGTGAAATTGGAAGACTTGATTAGGAGAAGATATGAGAATGAGAGACTGTTTTCACTTGCAGTTGATCCTCCCGAGGGAAGCCCAGGCTTCTACTCGTGAAAGACTCATGGTTACGTCTACAGATCTTTACGAACCCCACTTGCCCAGCCAGAAGCAGCAATTGAGCCGAAATTAAACGATAAGACAAAGAGACAACTCCATCGCGATCAAGGACATACTGCTGCTGATGAAAACGAAACCAAACTTAGTTTGTCGCTCTCACCTAAGGCTAATCAATCGCAAGCCACGATCGGCCGGTTTCCGCGCTCCCTTGGTTCTACTTTGCGTCAAATAGATAGAGCTATGCGAAACAGCGATGCGTCTTACCCACCTAATGCGGGCACAACGAGCAGAAGCGCAGATACATACGCTCTCTCGACCGCGCACCCGTGGAACGCACGACTTGGCCACCAAGAAGAGAGACGCTTGGAAGAATTCGCGAGACGCGTGCAGTTCCAAGCACATTCGACGCACCAATGCTCTCATGATGGACACCACTGGATACTCTATTGCGTGGTGCCTGCTTTTGGAGTTTTCGCGTCATCTGTAAGGGCCCAAAAGGTACCCCGAGGAATGGAGCCTATGCAATGCCTTGCGCAATGTCATTCGCGAGAAACAAGCCGACTTAATCCCGTGGCGCCCGATGGAGGAGAGATTCTCTCTTCTTTTTTTAGATCCGGGGTACACTCAATGGTGCGTTTGATGGTCAAAGCTTGCTTCCGTTCTTCAGCAGTGATTTGCATGTTCTCTGGGTTGTACTGGCTCAAAAGGCGCTGTGTTGCCTCCAAAACTGCTGTACTATTTCTGGCAATGGCTCCGGATGTAGCAACGTTTGGTGACAGATTTTCTTCTGGCTGGCGGCTTGGGTTGGTGGAGGTAGGTTCTGGTTCGTCGTTGACATCATCATCAATGTCTCCATCATAATCACCGCCATCTCTGGTAGATAAAATCTCATACTCGTCATCGTCATCTTGCTTCTCTGGAGAGCCATTAGACAGGCGTTGATCCTCATCCGACGTCAAATCGCTCCGAGAACCGCTCTCAGCGGCTTCTTCCAAAGCGTACTCGCCGTGCATGCTAACAAAAGTGGGAAGAAATGAGGAAGGTAGACGACATCGTGATGCTTCGCTATCCGGTATCTGCCGGTATCAGCGGAGATTCCCGGTTGTTGCGAATTTGGTGTGTACCTTGGTGTGTACCTTGGTGTGTACCTTGGTGTGTTTTGGTGTGTTTATTTAAGTGGCAGGTTCTTTGAAACAGGTAAATTGGTGTGTTCAAGTGTGTTTATTTAAAGGCGCAGTGCATTTCTCTGGTAAGCTGGTTGTTTTAGTGTGTTTGTATTTAACGGCACACTTTACCTTGCAGGATAGAAAATCGTGGTAGTGTGTTTTTATTTAACGGTACACTTTACCTTGCATTTTAGCAAATCGTGGTGAAGGTTTCAATGCATTGACCAACTGAATGGCAACATGTCTCCTGCAGCAACAACAGTTTCACTCAGGTTCCAACACAACTGCATTGCTTAGCTGAAGCAGCTGTAGATAAATCCAGGTGCTAAAGCCAGTTAGGGCCTCCTGAAGGGTCTCTCTGTATCAGCAGGTGGTTGCAATCACACACTACTCTGTCTGTAAATACAAGGAGATCATTGTTTGCTGTGCTCATTTTTGTTCATAGGTACAATAATGTCAGACGATCAGAGAAGACAGAGGGATGATAATCGAGGTTTACCACCAGTACCGCAAAATGCGGAAGCGTATCGAAGATGGCTACAACATCAGCATTTTTATATGAGAACTCTCGGTGAATCTTTTCTCGCTTACAGCTATAATATTGCCATGAGTCGCATGCCATCTGAAGCATTTGTTTCAACACCAGTACCGGCACCGATGGCACCAGCACCGGCACCAGCACCGGCACCAGCACCGGCACCAGCACCATCGCCAGCACTAAACACACCAAGCCAACAAGATACTGACGATGAGGTCTACACATGGCCAGATGGAAACCACAATTTTGATTATCCAGCTAATTACTTCAAGGAAGGTCGAGGTGGAAAAACTCCCTATTGCGGATGGGCTTTGTGCCATGTTGCTACGACCGTGCCCAAGGCCACGAAAATAGCCACCAGATATTTTTATTGCCTTGGTGTTTTCAAATGTCCGCAATGCTCTTTTGTAGCTAAACCTTTAATTCCCGAGCACAAAAAATATGGAGCAACTCCCAAAACTCCAAACAGCAACTGCGTTACTCATTCAGAGTGGAGCTCCAATGGATTCCTTGTACTGGAAAGAAGGAGAGCCATGCAAGCTAAACGTAGTTGATTTTGGCAGGATCAAATCGGCTAACCATCTTGGTCTACATAATCATCCTAGGCCCCCAATAACGAAACCATCTCCTAATGCGATTGAAGAGCTCGCTAAATTAGTCCGAGCTAATCCAAAGGCTGGAGCGGCAAAGCTAGCAATGGGATCTAGGACTCAGTCATCAGCTAAAGAACTTAGTGAAGCATTGGTCAATGAGGATCGACTACGTTACGAGCGAAATAAGATTTTGGGCAAAGAATCCATGCCCAATACCATAGGTGCTCTTTTTGAATTTAACAAGGAGATTGGTGGTAACTTTTTTGTAGATTTTGATATTCTATCTACAGATAGCAATATAATTTCCATGCAGACTGATTACATGAGAGAAATAATAGACGAACAAGCAAGTGGACTGCAAACTGATACTGTTGAAGGCATTCTAATTGATACTAAATATGGAGGTAAAATTGATATTCATTTTACTTCCGCCTTCGATATGGTTCTACAAAGATGGGTGCCAGTTCTCATATCGATATTATTCGGTAGAAGCAAACTCCATTATGCTCCTCACTGGAAATCTATTTTTGAAACTTATACAAGGAATGACGACACATCCAGCTGGAAAGAATTTAGCGAAAAGTTTCCAGGTACAACATGTGATTGGTCTGAAGCAGAGGGTGAATCCTTTTTTGAGACATTAGCAGAGTTCGCCACTACTGTTCTAAAGGCTACATCATCGGAAGTGCATGTGAATATGCTTGACTCGTGGTTACGAAAATGCGATGTTCATTTTAGAAGAACACTGCGCCGTGTGGCACGAAATGGCGCTCTTGTAGATCAAGAGAAAAGAAACGATTTTATGTGGATGGTGGATCGTCTAACCTCATTTGCTTGCGAATTTAACGAGTTCGAAAGCGTTTGCCAAAAAATCAAGAGATTGTTCCCTAAAGTGGTACCTTGGTTGGTATGGCATCTCCATCCACGCCGTGCAAAAAGTTTCTTTCCTGCTTGTCAAGGGCATTTCACGGAACCTGAACAAAAAAGGTTTGAAAAACTTTCCAATAGTACAAATGCTCAAGAAAATATTGGCAGACAATTTCAACATCTCTTTGGAAAAACGATGTCGATTTGTGAACAAATTTGAATTCAGTCGACGTAGTGCACAAGGTGGCGTATCTCTCAGCTATGGCATGTTCAAATCTCGAGCAGATAAGGAAAAAAAGAAACGCAGACGCACATATCATGAGGGTGATGGGAGACCTCCCGATACTACAGAAAAATTGCAAGGTGCTGAAGCATTAATGAGTCTTAAAGAAAGCAAACGCAAAAAGACTATGGCAGCAATTGACGATTTGAATAGATTCCTCGGCCCCGATTGGAATATTCTTGGTATAGCTTTTAATACATGTCCGCTGGATTCATTTCTGGTTCTTCTATATATACCATTTCTTGGAGGATTACTTTTTACATCATATCCTGAACTATCTGATCTCGACAGTTTGCTTAGCCGTACGTTCGAACTGCTAAAGTTAAACGACAATTGCATTGAAGCACGCATTATCTGGATTCGAGAATTTC